CGTGTGAGCACATATGTATCTATGCCACATACATGCGTACGCACATGTACATACACGCCATGTTTAACCACAATTTATTCCGCCTCCCATGGTTTCTGTACTATTTTTTTTTTTTAGAGTAGAAGTTACTTTTTGTTTTAATCCTCCCTGGGATATGCATTTTTATTGATTTTTAGAGAGAGAAAGGGGGGAGGGAGAGAGAGAGACATGGATCTGAGAGAGATGCTTGCAAAACAGTGGGCCCTGGTGGTGCGGATGTGGGAGCAATGTAAATGCAAGAATGGCGTTTGTTTCTCCAGCGTCGGGGCTGGAGGTGACTCTGTGGCTCTGAGGCCTGCGCAAAGCCATCCTTCCGCATGAACCTCTGTCCTGTTTGCCTCTGAAGAGGAGATCGCGTCAGGTGCCTGTGAGTCTGATGGAAACAGAGCCACATTCAACCGAACGCCTGAGCCAAACTTCCCCGGACAGGAAGTGGCCCCGCGCGCTGGCTGAGGCGGCACTCAGCGTTGTCCACAGATGTTTAATATTACAAACGCGTATCAATATTTCACGACCTGTTACCTTCGCGGCATCTCATAATGCATGTGACGACAGCCGCAAATGGTCTCTTAGAGCAAAACGCAGGAACTACTCTCCAGCCTTTTTTGGTTTGGGGTCCAAGGCCTGGCAGTCTGGGCCCTCAGCTGACTCACATTAAGAAGAGACAGGACGGTGGTCAATGCGCACTAACTGGGGAGCTATTTAAAGACGCCCTGAGCAACGTGGGGTGAATATCGTGCGCTTTTGCCCCCAGATGCAGCTGTCTGTCAGCAGAGGAAATTCTGAAGGGTGCCGTCTAGTTTTCCCTTTGATGTGAGACATCGCCGTGAACACGGGGAGAGCAGATGGCGTTTGATTTGGGTTTGTCTTGCTCTTTGGCTTCCTTCGTCATTACTTGGGCTCGGTGGGCTCAGGAGCGGGCCGCGTCCCCTCGCTCTGCGACGGTTCTTGGCAGCGCGGAGACACACCAGGTCCTGATCGGATTCGTTGCCTTCGTTATTTATCACGCCAGTGCCCTACTTAGTGTTGACGGAAGGAGCAACATGATTTTTAAATGGAATATTCCTGAATGAGTTACTTTTTATCTTCAAACTTTATTATAGAGTGTATGCCCGTGCGCTCGCCTCTATGAGAATATTAGAATATCCGTATTTCCTCTCGTATATCAGACAGTTTGCCTAGTATTTTCTAGCCTGGGAGTCTGTGAATTCGAAGGGAAAGATAAAGTGGGTGTGTCTGGAAAATGTGTTTTCTTTTTATCCTTTTACGCCTGGTACAGATATAATGCGTCTGATTTGAATGCCCGCCCCTTGCGAATCTGACCGTGTCCACTCCTGGTTCCAAACGCGATGGCTTTTCCCGGGCTTTGCCCTGAGACCAGCATCCTTAGCCCTACATCTGAGCCCCTCTCCCCATTGTACACCTGCAGCCTCATTTCCTTCACACCCACCGTCGCCATCAGCAACCTCTCCTGTGGGCCTTCCTTCTGCTCTTGCCACAAGCCGTCAGCACTTGTCACAGGGGCTTTGCTGAAATATTGAGCTATAGGTAGGTCGTGGGCACGGACCAATCAGAGAGCAGGACTCTGGAACTCCTGCTAGCCAGGCATTAGCCCTGAGGTGGTGGGTCTAGGGGAAGGAGTGCTGTCTGAGCAGCCCGGGAGGGCAGGGAGTTGGCCAGCCTGAGTCCAGTTCAGGGCGACACCTGGTCTGTGTCCACACCCGAAAGGGTGCTCCCCCCTCTCCCCTCAGCACACACATCACACGTCGGTCATGCATCTCTGCCTTCCCACCATCTACTGGCCTCCTCAGAGGAGCCCCTGACTTTCCCGGGGAGGCCTGCCCCTGCCCCCAAGGCTCCAGGGAAACCTCTCCCTGTCACTGTCCCTGCCGGTGGCCCGTTCACAGCGACTTGGCACTGACGTGGGTCGTGTGCCCCTCCCCCTCGTTCATAGACTCCACTCGGGCAGGGCTGGTCCGTGACCCGACACCCCCTACCCCACCTCCCTCCAGGATGACAACCTGACACCTCATAGCAGCTGCTCAATAAGTATGTATTGATCACATGGATTTTCAAAAAGCCTTGAGAACGTCTTTGAACACATTTACACGTTTAAAGTTAACACACACATGGAACCTGGGGTGCGTTGTTGGGAAGATAACAGTGTTAAGTTACCATCCTTTTAATAGCGTCTTACATTTTTTTCTGAAATAATTTCAAATTCATGCCTAAATAAATATTGCTTTTCTATTGTGTGTGTGCATGTACATAGGTGTCCACATGTGTGTGTATGCATGCATGTGTGTGTGCATCGGTACATGTGCACATGCATGCATGTGCACCTGTGTCCATTGTGCGTGTGTGTGTGTGTGTGTGTGTGTGTGTGAGAGCTCATGATTTCCTGACTACAGCTTCCTCACAGACATGATCAGAAGGAGGGTGTGGTGGTTACGGATTGTCAGGTATCAGCTTAACCCAGAATGATTTGGGTCAGCATTCGGGTTTGAAATTGAAAGTAATTGTGGACACGGACCGTGTCGCTGACTGAGCAGAAATAGAGGAAGGCAGGCGGGTCTGAAAGCCTCCGGGCCACAGAGGAGGCGCCGGCCAGGGCGGAGGCCTGGGAACCCAGGGCTGAGTGAGTGAGGTGGAGAGGGCGCCCCCACCCCACCCCGTGTGCTGGGATCGCTCGGTCATCTCTGGCGTTGGTCTCTGGGACAGACGCCGTGCACGGGGCTCCCAGAGCTGTTTCCGGTGCGTCCTGTGGCAGAGGCAGCCGCGCCCCTCTCACTCCCTGCCCCCTCCTTACCTGAGTCACTGCTGGGCTGGGGAGCCACATCGCTGCCCAGCGAGCAGCGGGACGTGCTGGGCAGTGACGCCCCGCGAACGGCCTCCACACGGTGACTAGTGGGAGGTGGTGTGTGGAGCCCTCGGCCCTGCCCCCGTGACAGGGATTATGCGGGCAGCTCGGGACAGCCTTGGGTGACTCCGGATTAAGCTGGAGTCACACCCAGTTTAGTGGCTTGTCTCACCCATATCGGCTGCCTCCCTCCCCCTCTAACCCCCAACTGGTTTTGTCCTTCACCAGCCAGGCAAACGGCGGCACGTGAATTCATTTTGCAGCGTTTGCAGCTGTGTGCCGTGTATGTGTGAGCGTGCCCTTTGCAGTGGTGATGGCGTCATGCCCTTTGCCGTGGTGGATGGTGAGTGGGCCCTTTGCAGTGGTGAATGGCGGCATGCCCTTTGCAGTGGGGAATGGCGCCATGCCCTTTGCCGTGGTGGATGGTGAGTGGGCCCTTTGCAGTGGTGAATGGCGGCATGCCCTTTGCAGTGGGGAATGGCGCCATGCCCTTTGCCGTGGTGGATGGTGAGTGGGCCCTTTGCAGTGGTGAATGGCGGCATGCCCTTTGCAGTGGGGAATGGCGCCATGCCCTTTGCCGTGGTGGATGGTGAGTGGGCCCTTTGCAGTGGTGAATGGCGGCATGCCCTTTGCAGTGGGGAATGGCGCCATGCCCTTTGCCGTGGTGGATGGTGAGTGGGCCCTTTGCAGTGGTGAATGGCGGCATGCCCTTTGCAGTGGGGAATGGCGCCATGCCCTTTGCCGTGGTGGATGGTGAGTGGGCCCTTTGCAGTGGTGAATGGCGGCATGCCCTTTGCAGTGGGGAATGGCGCCATGCCCTTTGCCGTGGTGGATGGTGAGTGGGCCCTTTGCAGTGGTGAATGGCGGCATGCCCTTTGCAGTGGGGAATGGCGCCATGCCCTTTGCCGTGGTGGATGGTGAGTGTGCCCTTTGCAGTGGGGGATGGCGTCATGGCCTTTGCAGTGCTGGATGGTGAGGAATGACCACAGATCCAATTCCTGGGACAGTGGTTGTCAACTGCATGTTGGTGGTTCCAGGTTCTCAGGGGCAGAGTCAGTGCTGCCAAATCTGGCATCCACTCCACCGTCCCAGCCCCAGCGCCGCCTCCCACATACATTAGGTCGTAGCATCGCCACGGGAACGGCGGGCCTCGTCTATCAGTGTAAGAACATGACTTGGGCGTTGTGATATTTTCACTTTTGCAATGGTTGGGACACAGTTTAGATTGATGACATCGCTCGCTTGCCAGATCCCACATTTAAGCTGGGATTCCTCTCTCTGGCTCAGCGACAGTGAATTCGGCCCAGGCCCAGCCGCTGCCCACGCTCAGTGCGCCCTCCCGCCAGCATGGGCCGCCGTCAGCCCTCAGAACAGGGCCCCAGGTCTCAGGTGTGCGCCCTTCGGCTTGACCATTGGGCTTGACCTCTCGCTGCGCAGGTCCCGAGTGTTTGTTGGCTGCTGACCATGACGCAGGATCTTCATAGTTATTTCCTCTCTACCAGCCCATTTCCGTTGAGGAAAATTAAAGACGATAAACAAGAAAATCGTTTCACTTGCAAGACTCTCGGGCTCGGCAGTTCCCACCACGAGTTTCGGGTCTGTGCTGGGCAGCACGCTCTCTGCACCTGTGCTGAACGCGCCGCCCTGGAGGCCAGCCGCGGCCCTGCCGTTTGTAATTGAGGCTCCCCGTCATGGCCCCGGGGGCCCGGATAACCGGTGCTGTGAGGTGTCTGGTCTCGTGACCCTTGTAGACTTAGCAGCATGTCATCATCAGAGAAAATGAGGAAAGTTGGAATGCCAGGGTTGTAAGTGCTGTAATTATTATCTCGCCAGTGTTTTAACACTTAACATTAATGTTTAATATTCTTAGTGTGGAACAGTCCTGATTTTATGAGGCCACTTCCATCTGCCTCTCAGTTACATAGAGTGTGTTTTTTTAATGTCTCCACATTTCATACATCTTCTCTTTTGCATCCAAAAAGATGCATTTCCTTTGGGGATTTTGAGTGGCATACAGTTTTAGGAGAATAAGGAAATGTGTTTTTTAAGGGCAGCTCATTTTTTTCAAGCCTAACTGCTTGGTGCATATATTTTACAGATTAAGGGTTTACCTGAAGACAAGCCACCCTGTTCATCAGAGACTGGACCAGAGTTCCTCCCTGCGGGCAATTAAAGATGCTGTTGCCATGGAAACAGCTGGTCCTGCTGTCATTCATTGGCTGCCTAGGAGGTAAAACTAAGCTGTCTTTTCCAGGTTGAGGTTAGAAATATACTTGAGTCATATATTCAATAATTTTTAAACTGTGGAGTAATACTCCTTCAGTAGCAAGGAAGAACATGTTTCTGTTGTTGTTGTTGTTTTGTTTTCAGAAGGAAAATTCAAACACTCTCTTTTGACTGTCAGATTCTCATTTCAGCCCCTAATTTTGGCCCAATGTTTTATGCCTTCTTACGTCATAAGTTTCCTATAGCAGACGAATGCAACAGTTAATCAGAATTTGCGAATATTAGTTCATGAATATTTTGTTCCAAATGGAGCTAAAAGTTACAATCTCCAATGTAATGGGCGAATATAAATTTTAAAGAACACCGGTATTTTTATATCTCATCTTGAAAACAACAGTTTGCCTTTTAGCAGGTAAATTATTTCAGGGAGCAAAAATAAACATGGGCTTTTTATTTGTTAATTTGGAAAATTTGAAGTTCAGAATAAAACAGAAAGAAAAGAAATAATTTCTCAGACATCTACCATACAAAACAGCTCTTATAGATCACTTGATGTATTTCTTTTGTTTGTTTTGTTTTGTTTTCTGAAAGAATGAATAAGTAAGAGAAGATTTTAAAAAATTAGTATATGCATAACGCATAGGTTTTTCAAAATATTTATTATTCTTCTTATTGTGAAAATTCTCCAGGGCCTATAAAGTTGAAAGAATAATATAAAGAACACCCACACATGTACCACTTAGATGGAACTGCTGGGCCATTTCACTGTATTTGTTCTATTTGTGAACATACGTGGATGTATTTTTTCTGTTGATTGACTGATTGATCAGCTCAACCTTTTGAAAGTAAGTTACGAAGTCATCGCCTCTCACCTCTGAAAATTTCAGCACCCATCTCCTGAGAAGACCAATTTTCTCCATAAACACGATTTCCTGGTGAGAAGGGAGCTGACCCCATGCTGCCCGGTTTCCTGCCTAGACGAGGGCATCGCTGTGTAATGAAGCCAAATGTGTCGTCCGGTAAAACACACGTTACCGGAAGTAGACTTTTGAACCCTTATTTCAAACTTTAAATATCCTTCAAATATTTAAATGAAACCAAGACCTCCAATTTTTACGTTAAAGTTTTTTTTAAAAAACATGTTTCTCCCTGTGACACCTCAGTTTTGTTCCTAAAACAACTATTCATCTAGCCCATAGGGAAAAAGGAGTAATTATTTCCAGATTTCTTCCTATTTAAGTGATCTTTGGAGAAAATGCAATGTAGATATCAAACAATTGTTCTTCTTGGATTATATTCTTCATGTACAAAGTCGCCATTTGAGTTCTGTTGGAGGAGGAGGAAGATGAAAATGAAGGCACCAGAGTGATGATATTATTCATGACTCAATTTTTATAGAACAACCTCGAAATTTCCCAATTAATTGGAAATAGGAAGATGTACTCAGAAGGGCAGGTATCGCTAAAGAGAAAGCTCAGTCCCTAAAGATTTAAAGGCTGAGTTGTAATTTTATACAATGTGCAACTTAAATTAATCTTTGCATTTTTTGAGAAATCTTATATATGTTTATGAATGAGTTTATGAAAAAGCAGTATCCATTTTTTTAAAATATTAAGACTTTATTAGAAAATTGAAAGATCAACTTGATTCTCAGGATATGTTGCTTAAAAAGCTGCAAGGGTTGGTAAGGGCGACGTGGATTCATATGATACATTATGTATAGGGTACCAATGTGTTTTTTTTTCCCATTTTACGAAGATTTTGGTAAAGGTCCTTACAGAGCAACCTCCAGACTCCAGACCCTGCTGCCAGGGAGTCCGTGTTATGTGGTGGGTCCCAGCCGGCCCGTGGCAGGCGACACTGGCTTCCACCTCCAGCTATGAGACCAGGTGATGGGCAGTAGCTTGTCCACCACCCTGGCAGTGCCTACGTGGTCAGCCCAGGGCTTCTCGGGGCAGAGGAGAGTTGCTGGAACACAGCGTTTACCACCCCCCACTCACCCTGGCCACCCTCGCTGTCTCCCGCCCACAGGTGAGCTGCTCTTACACGGCCCCGTGTTCGTCAGCGAGCCCAGCGACAGCATGGTCCCCGTCGGTGCTGAGGACAAGAGAGTCACTTTCAAGTGCGAAGCGAGAGGCAACCCTTCCCCTCAGTACAGGTAGGGTGCAAAGTCTGAAATGCACCTTAAGAATGATGTGGCCCCTGGCCGGTGTGGCTCAGTGCTTAGAGCATTGGCCTGCGGACCGAAGGGTCTCAGGTGTGATTCCCGGTCAAGGACATGGACCGTGGTTGCAGGCTCCATCCCTGGCCTCAGTTGGGGTGTGTGCAAGAGGCAATCAATTGATGTGTCTCTGTCACATCGATGTTTCTGTCTCTCTCTCTCTCTCTCTCTCTCTCTCTCTCTCTCTCTCTCTCTTCTCTCTCTTTCTCCTTCTCTCTCTCTCTCTCTCTCTCTCTCTCTCTCTCTCTTTCTTTCTCTTTCTCGCTCTCTCTCCTCACCCCCTTTCTTTCTTAAAAATATCAATAAATAAAAACAGAACAAAAAAATGATGCGGCGACTGAATTTTTGGAGGCCGCGTGTTTACGGCAGGAAGAAAAGGGTGGGCATCCCCTGCGGCATCCTGGGGATGGAATTCAGTGTCTAAGGATGTGGCCCATGTACACACGGGAATACGACTCAGCCACAAGAAAGGAGGAAATGCGGCCATTTGCAACGCCGTGGACAGACCTTGAGAAGATCATGCTAAGTGAAATGGGTCAGTCAGAAAAAGCTGAGAACCACGTGGTTTCACTCACGTGGGCTATAAGACTGAAACCTGTGGACACAAACAGCGGAATGGTGGTTGCCAGGGGAAAGGGGGTGGGAGGGTCAGGGGACCCTAATATGAGGTGACAGGAGACAATTTGACTCTGGGTGGTGGGCACACGGTGCAAAATACAGATCTTGTAACATAGAAACCCACATCTGAAGCCTGTATGTTGACCAGTGTCACCCCGATACATTCAATTTTTTAAAAAATAAGAAAGGGAGTTGGAAATCCTGGTTTTAGAAAAAGGACCTTCCGTGTCGGACCTTCTTCCTTTACCATTTTCCTGGGGTGTGTTTGAAGGTTCAGTAAATACAGAATAAAATACATTCTTACTAAGATCAGTTTGCTTATCCTTGAAAAGAAAAACACATTTAGTTAATTAGATTTTTTTTTCATGTAAAAGTCTATATTTTTCCGATTATTGAGATAACACCTATTCACTGAAAGACTTCGAACACCACAGCAAGGTATACGGAGAGAAAGAATAAATCTCTAGTTTTTGGCCGCCTTAAGATAAAAAGACATGTGAACATTTTGGGATGATGGTGGATCCTTGGATGGGATGGGTAGTTACTGGGATGGGATGTATTAAACATCCCAGGATTAGATACATGTGAACCTTTTGGGGCGATGGTGGATCCTTGGATGGGATGGGATGTATTAAACATCCCAGGATTAGTGATGCCAACAGTCAATGGCAACTGGGTCAGCACGAGGTCGGAAGGCCCACCGTTGTATTTTTTTAAATATATTTTTATTGATTTCAGAGAGGAAGGGAAAGGGAGAGAGGGCTAGAAACATCAATGATGAGAGAGAATCATTGATCGGCTGCCTCCTGCACGCCCCCACTAGGAATACAGTCAGCAGTCCGGGCATGTATCCTGACTGGGAATCGAACCGTGACCTCCTGGTTCATAGTGGTTGACACTCAGCCACTAAGCTACGCCGGCCGGGTGACCTTTGCAGTTTTTTGTTTGTATTTTAATCCTCACCTGAGGATTTTTTTCCCCATTGATTTTTTTTTTTAGAGAGAGCGAACGACGGAGAGAAATACTGATGTGAGAGAAACACATCAATGGGTTGGTTGCCTCCTGCACGAGCCCTGGCCAGGGCCCTGGGCTGGGAAGGAGCCTACAACCAAGGTACATGCCCTTGACCGGAACCAAACCTGGGACCCTTTGGTCCTCAGGCTGACGCTCTATCCACCGAACCAAACCGGCCAGGGCCTTTGCATTTTTACATCTGGAAGCCTTGCAAGGTCACCGATATCCACCACCCAGCGTATTGAGCACCTACTGTGTGCTTTCAGCAGCACAACACCAGGTTCCCGGGCAGCCTTGGCAGAGTGGTGACGTTTTCTCTCTGCCTCTTCCTCTCCCTGTAGAAATAGGGGAGGTATCAGACCTGATGAGAGAGGCAAGCAGCCAGCATTTCACAAGCTGGATTCATTCTTCAGACGTCTGGACACATTTCCCTCCCTCGGGGACGTAGGAACGAATCAACGGAACCAGGCGTGACCCTGGAGTGCTTTCCCAGCAGTTCTGTAGGACGTTCTGACCTGTTGAAAACGCCCCTGTTGTTTCTCCCGAGAGGAAGAGGCTGGTAGGCATGACTGTGAGCACGACAGGGACGCTGCGAGCGCTGACCCGCGGGAGGGCTGTTCCCCTGTTGTCGGTCAAGTTTCAGTCCCTGGCGTCTGCCTCCTGAATCCTGCGACGACAAATGTGTTCAACTGAAGAATTGTCAAGATACAAGATTTAGTCCTTCGGGCATTTCAAAATGGGGAGATTAATTAGGCTGCAAAGCAGCAGGGAGCAGTGCCTTTAGAAACCCAGGCATAGCCTGTCATTGTCTGCATTTCCAAACACCGGGTGTTTATTGGAAAACCAGAGAGCAAGTTTTTAACCAGTTCATGGCCACTATATTTTGAATGGAATTAATTAAGGTCCGCTGCTTGCGTCTATAAGGCTTATGGCGTGCAAACGGTTAGCTATCAATGGCATGTGTGCATGCCTCTGAAAAGGTTCTCCTGTTTGCAAAGTGCTTCTGATCCTGTATTACAGGGCCTGGGATGGCGTGTGTTGAAATGCATGCAGAATCCATAGCCGAGACTGGAAGCGGTGGGACTTAGTTTGGTTTATCAGTTTTGCGTCTTATAGTGAAGGAATTTAACGTGCGGATGTTATGGAATGAGCAGGTATTGTTGAAACCCTCGGCTAGCCGACAGTGCCAACACTTGCATTATAGCTGTTAGATTTTCTAACGTTAAGACTTCTAACCAGTATAAGATTTCCACTTAAACCCGAGGTTTATAGTCACTAGAAACGAAGACCTTAAAACAGCACAGGGAACCTCGTTCATTGTGAAAACATTAGGCTTTCCGACCACAGGCGCCGGCAGCCTGTTACGTGTTACCTGCATGGGTTTTGCGGACGGAGTCATGGGTGTGTAAACTCCCAGGGGCTGTGATTGTAACTTTACCGACTCACACGGCACCTTCACTACGGCCTGATTCTCCCCCGGCCCCCTGCCCCCAGGCTTTTGACTTTAAAGTCCACCAGGTAATGTTCTACATTATTCTTTAAACGTTCCAAAGAAAACATGCTAGCATGTTCTTAGGTTTTTACTATCCTTTAAAAACTACAGAGAAGCACTATAGATATGCGATAATTGAGGACATATAAAAGATAGGGGAATTTTCTCCATGAAGCAAGAGAGAATATGTTTTTATAAGTATAAATCTAAGCAGATAAGTAGGTAGTAGGTAGATACATAGATAGATCATACATCATACATACATCATATATCACACATATATACGTAGGTAGATAGATACATAGGCACATAGATATATAGATAGATACACATGTAGGTAGGTAGATACGGATGTACATAGGTAGGTAGGTAGATAGGTAGATACATATATAGATACACACACATACATAGGTAGTAATGTAGGTAGGTAGGTAGATAGATAGGTGATAGACACACAGACATATCTAGGTAGGTACGTCGGTAGGTAGGTAGATAGGTAGATACATAGATATATAGATACACATACATAGGTAGGTACGCAGGTAGATAGGTAGATAGATATACACACACGTAAGTAGGTATATATGTAGGTAGATAGGTAGGTGGATAGATAAATAGATAAATACTTACGTAGGTAATGTTCTATATTAGGCAGGTAAGTAGGGAGATACAAAGCCACCAAGGAGTAAAATGAGGGGGTCATGTGTAACCATAAATGAATGGAGCCCAAACACAAGGTTCAGAACAAACTTTGTCTGACAAAGACTGTCCATTGCAAGCCCAGAGCCTCCCCTGCAGACAGAGGCAACCTTGTTGCAAGAGAGATTTCTTTGTTGTTATCCCATTGAGTAAAAAACAAAACAAAACCAAAACCCCTCTTAATTGGCCCTCCTGGAAAACCTGAAAGCTCAGAAATTCTCCAGAGAATCGCCTGTCTTGGGGTTTCGTGGAGGGTTTTATTCTTCCTTGTGCCCCTGCCCCCGGAGCCCCGCCGCCTCCATGTGAAAGTTAATTGTGTTCCGTCTCCTCCTAAAGCCAATGCCGCGAAGGAGGTGCCCCGAGGAGGCCTTCAGAGCTCCTGCGAACAGGCCGGGGTCTCCGGTGTCTCTTAGGTGACAGATGCCCACCTGTTCGCTCACTGAAGACCCTGAGCAGGGGCGTCTCTGGGCTGGATTGCGTAGAACGGGCCAGGGCCACGAGGATCAGGCAGGTAGCGGACCTGCAGAGGCGCCTGCCTGGTGCACACGCGACACCCTGAGCAGCGATGGGGCTGGGCTGCCCAGCGCCGGGCCACAAGCCTCACAGGGTCCCCACGCCTCTCGGCGGCCAGCGGTGGCAGTCCCGGGTCCGGGCCCCGTGTCACAAAGCTTTTCAAGGCATGTTTCTTTCTGGGCTCTCTCCACGTCTGATGTTGAGTCTGCTTTTCTGTTCACACCTGCTGGAGGCCACAGAAAACAGGTCTGAACGCTGGACGTGGCCCACGTGGGCTGTTTCCAACATGCGGTCCAGCTGGAGGTCGGCAGCCGTGCTGTCCAATAGGGCAGCGCAGCCACATTTGGGGGGAAAGGGCAGGGAGAAAACAGGGAGTCTGGGGTTAGGCCAGGAGCCAGGCTCCAGGTCGGTAGCAGTCGGGGATGCTTACATTTGGGGTACTTCTTGTGTTTTGCTCACTTCAGGACGGATTGCAGTGAGGGGACAGAGGTGGCTCCGGAGTGAGCAGGGGTGGCCTGAGACTCCGGACTGGCATTGGCTGGAGAAAAGGGCATCTCCCCTGTTAGGGTCCTGAAGGGTTCCAGTCACCTCAGGAGACTCC